GCCATGATATGAGAGTTAATGCACGAAGGGTGATGCCGTGCCGTTTCTATTAATTTTATGGTGCGATTGAGAATAAAAGCACGAAGGGTGATGCCGTGCATTTTTTCTTACTGTATTCACTATTCCTATTGATTCATGGTATATTGACTGCTCCGCTAATCATTCTGTTGTAGTTCTTTATCTTGTATTTCCCTCAGTATGTTCCCCTCCCGACAATTCCTGTTTAGTTCTTCATTTCTGTTATTTATATATACACTATTAAATTGTACAGGTTGATTTGCAGGTGCCTTGCCTTAGCCTCGTCACTACTTCGTCGAGGTTAGGCTCGACACTTACCAGTACATGGGATCGGTTGTACTGATGCTGCACTCTGCACTTTTTGTGCAGATTTTGATACCGGCTCAGGTTGATCGAGATTTTGTTATTGGTCCGCTATCCAGAGACTCAAGGTAGATCTGTCGGCGTTCACAGACCTTGAAGTCCCCGTCTATCTTTTATGCCCTACGGTTTTCTTTCATTCAGACAGTTGTATTTCTTTCATACTATTACTTGTAGTAAATTCTAGAATGCTTGTGAATTGTGACTCCAGATCCGGGTGGCAGTAATTAATACAGTTTTATGATATTTCGCACTTATTATATTTTATCTTAGTTAATTATTGTTAATTACTGAATGGGAATAAGGAATTGGTTTAATGATTCTCTAATGTTGGCTTGCCTAGCAAGTAAAATGTTAAGCGCCATCACGGTCCCGTCAGTGAGAAATTTCGGGTCGTGACAGAATACATGTGAATACATGCACGTACAACTAGATTGCCCTGATTTTAGGCGCTTTATACCATTGTATTCATGAATACATGGCACGAATACTTGTGAATACATGCGCGTACAACTGGACTGCCCTGATTTTAGGCATTTTTTGTTGTTATATTTATTAATACAGCAACGCGAATACATGCGAATACACTACCGTACCAACTGAATAGTAGCTATAGAAAGTAATTATATATATGATAGCTATAGAAAATTAATAACCACTAAACAATAGTGGTTTCTGAAAATTCCTCTTAAATTTACCATTGTGGCAGGACTTGAGAGTAAATTTTGAATTTCGAATATCAAAAATAAGTTTAAATTAAGTGGGTGTTGTTGAAAAATCTTGTTCTCTTCATCTAGCAACTCTTATATACTAGATTTCGTGGAGTAAATTAAAATACCATCTAAAAATCACCATTATTGCAAGCATGAAGAAATGAGCCTTGAATTTCAAATTATAAAAAAGTGAAACTTCAGACATATATGTAGTAAGTTTGTCTGCACAATCAAAATACCAAACTTCAATAAAAATATATAATTTAAATTGTGAATTTTGCAATTTCAACTGTTGTTTCTAAAGTGGCTATATTTATAAAAATCTAGGTAATGGCTTAAACAAGGTTCCCAAAACGGGTTGTCTGTGAACTAGGGATGTTCATGGTTCAGTTTGGATCGGTTTTCCTTAAAAAGAAACTAAATCAAGTAAGTCGGTTATTCAAATATTGGAATCAAACCAAATTATTTAGTGGTTTTTATCGATTCGGCTTTCGTCGGTTTTTGCCAGGTTTTCGGTTATTTATCGATTTTTTTCTTATATATGAGACATGCACTACTAAACACATATTCTGGCGACTACAATTTCAACGTAACACTATCAAACCAATTATTTTTTGAGAAATGTATAAATCTATAATTTATCAAGATATATTGATGATAATTGAATCAAATACCAGTGATGAATAATTTAAGTAGTCAATTAAAAATCGATTATTTTTAACATGAAATAAATTCTTGTACTCAGCAAAAGAAAACTACCAATCAAACTAGAATGTAAATGCAAATAATTAAATTATTATAATAATAAAAAACTAGACTAAAAATACAAACAACTAATATGTACCATAAAATTTTAGAAACTTTATATAAAAATATACACATATATAGGTATAATAATAAATTTAAATAGCTATTTGATTTTTTTGATTATTTTTTGATTAAAATCAAAATCAAACCAAATTTGATCAATTTTTAAAATTCAAAATAAAATCAAACCAACCTAAAAATTATTTATTCGGTTTAATTCGATTTTTCGGGTTTTTATCAACATTGGGTGAACTTGCCCTCGCGAAGCCCAAACACCGAAAGCTCAAAAAAGGCTAGACACGGTAACACGTGGCCGTTTACTATCGGGGCAAACATGTTGGAGTCGTCTCTTATTGGTTACTTAGCATTAAAACCACGTCGCAGTTTAATTCAGTCGTTAGATTTCATTTTTCAACCATCGGGCCCCAGTCCCTGGTTCAGCTCAGCAAAAATTCACTGAGACGACAGTTAATCCTGTTGAATCTCTCATAGAACAAATTGCAAACTGAAAAAAGCAAATTCCAGATTGTTCGATTTCTTCGAGCAGTAGATCTGTTTACAAACCCTAGATTTTCTAGGGAATCAATCGATATGGCGCACGGAAGATCAAAATTGCTCTTTTTATTGTGCTGTTTATCATACACTTTAATTGCCATTGCGTCGTAAGCATTTTTAATTTAATTTAATTTCACTATGTATTTGTTTGATAATTTGGTGTGCGAAATGTGCTTTGTTTTCATTCTCATGAAATTTGTTCAATCGTTACAGGAAGAGTTATTATGACATATTGCAAGTTCCGAAAGGCGCTTCGGACGAACAGATCAAACGTGCTTATAGGAAGCTTGCTTTGAAGTATCATCCTGATAAAAACCAGGGAAATGAAGAGGCTAATAAGAAATTTGCAGAAATCAGTAATGGTATATCTCTTATAACTTATTAGAAGTTGTTGATTAGAGAAATTATTGAGTATTGCAATGAGAAATTTGTATATGCGGTACCAGCTAGAAGGTAGTTCTTACTAGGAAGACTCTTAGTATATTAGAGATGATTTTAAGTTCTGTGCACCGTTAGTGTGCCATAGGTAAATTTTAGAAACAAGCATGATATGGTAACCTGGAAAGTAGAAAAGTAACCTGCTATAACCGTAAAATTAGAGTTGAATCCTCTAGAGATATAATTACTAGAGTATATTAGAGAATCCCTAGTGTTAGATTACCCTTAAGGGCATAGTATTGAAATATTATGGACCTAAATGGAGCATTTAGATAATAAGGATTTATACAACCAACCCCAACTAGCTTGTGATTGAGGTGTTGTTGTTGTTTATGCAATGAGATGTGCTGATATACAGTGGAATGAATATGTAGGGTTTACACAGCTGACCTAAACTAGTTTTAGATTGACTCATAATTGTTGTTGTTGCAATTTTTTTGATATTGAATGCTTTGTTAGATGATATTTTAACATAATTAAATGGGTCCTTATAGAGCAGAGTGGAAGTGGAGGATTCATATAGGGAAATAATTGATGGTATAGCTGTTGTTGTTGCAAGATTTTGTGATAATGGGCGCTACTAGAAACTGACTAGATGATATTTTTAGAGTAGTTTTTGAAAAGAAATAATGGGTGCCTATAGAGTGATGTGGATATAGACGATTCATATAGACCATCCCAACTAGTGGGGATTGAGGCGTTGTTATTGTTACTTATGTGGCTTGTTAGTTCTAAATTGTATAATTTTGAAAGATTAGTTTTCTGTGGTACTCATATTCTTGAGGGATTAACAGCTTATGAAGTGCTGTCGGATAGTGAAAAGAGGAATATATACGACCGGTATGGAGAAGAAGGTCTTAAACAACATGCTGCCAGCGGAGGCAGAGGTTCAGGAATGAACATGCAAGACATATTTAGCCAGTAAGTTGATACCCTTTATTCCATGCTTTCCCCAACTTCATTTGGTACTGTTTTTCTCTTTGGTCATTGTACCTGCGTAATTTAGTGCAATATACCTGGTGCGCAGCAACTCTGAGTATAGAGGATTCATATAGATTTCAAACTATTTCTGGGATTGAGGCGAAGTTGATTGATATTGATCGACTTTGTATTGAGAAACTTGTCTACTTTTACAACTTATAAGAAACAAACTATAATCTGTATTTTGCGTAAAGCTACAAGATATAAGTAGACATGAGGTGAGACTTTTAAGTTTTAACTCATTCATCAGCTTTAATTGATTAATCTCTAGCTGATTTTGGTAAAGCTATGTCAAAAAGGTATTGTTCATTTAACTACTGACTCGTTATAAGTGTAACCTTAAGATTTATGTATGCCGAACGGGTATTCATCATTTTTTTCTTTTAAATAGTATGTTTTTGGTTTAATTTACAGTTTATTATTCCACACCACCAAAGATTGGTTGGTATTCCATACCTGGTACATTATTCATACCCTGAGGTTATAGGCATCTACATAAACTTATTTCCCTCCATTTAGCTGTCCAGCGAAATCTCTGTATACAGTATAAGTTACCTCAGTTACTTGTAAGTTCATGTGAAAAATGTAGCGAAAGCCAATGAAATTTATTTTTGATGGATATGAAAGAATGAAGTGTGAATTCGTTTACGTTCAAGCTATATGATTTATATATGGATAACAATCTTGGGTTTTAACTCATTCATCAGCTTTAATTGACTAATCTCTAGCTGATTTTGGTAAAGCTATGTCAAAAGGATATTGTTCATTTGATTACTGACTCGTTATAAGTGTAACCTTAAGATTTATGTACGGCGAACGGGTATTCATCATTTTTTCTTTTAAATAGTATGTTTTTGGTTTAATTTACAGTTTATTATTCAACACCACCAAAGATTGGTTGGTATTCCATACCTGGTACATTATTCATAACCTGAGGTTATAGGCATCTACATAAACTTATTTCCCTCCGTTTAGCTGTCCAGCGAAATCTCTGTATACAGTATAAGTTACCTCAGTTACTTGTAAGTTCATGTGAAAAATGTAGCGAAAGCCAATGAAATTTTATTTTTGATGGATATGAAAGAATGAAGTGTGAATTCGTTTACGTTCAAGCTATATGATTTATATATGGATAACAATCTTGGGATGTTGACTACCTTCTCTTTTTACTCTTCTGTGATGGAACGTACTTTTGAATTTTCTTTTTGGGGCGTTTTGGTGAAGTAGGAGCCCTAGATAGATTTATTTTCAGTTAGCATTTCCAACAAATGAGAAATGCAAAGAGAATCTGGTATAAGCAAGCAGATAAATGATATAGAGTGGAATAAGATCTGGCTTAGGAAGCAACAACAACAACGTACCCAGTATTATCCCACACCGTGGGGTCTGAGGAGGGTAGTGTGTACGCAAACCTTACCCCTACCTTGTGAGGATAGAGAGGTTGTTTCCAATAGACCCTCAACTCTGACTTAAAAAGCGTTTGAGGTTAAATGGCTTGCAGTGGAAGATGTGGCGGTTTACCTGCTAGCTAGTATAACGCTTGGGCTTAAAAAGAGTTTCTTAATGATACAGTGGCTTGAAGAAGTCATCTGGTACTGTGGAAGACATTAAACCAGATCCGAAATGTATTAAGATAGTGGAGGGAGAAGAATTTCTTGGGTTTTCATATTAGCATTCTGTAGGAACAATCCTCACTGTCCGGGCTAGTTCAAGCTTGATATTTTCTGGGAAATTTGAGTTACAAGCTGATAATTTCCTTTTTATTATTCAGTTTGAGAACTAAAAGAAAACTGAATTGGAGAGTTTGCCCCTTACCGTTGGTATGAAATGGCAATATTTCTTGCTAACAAAGCAGTAATTTGCAAGGTTTTTTGGCGGAGGCTCAATGGAAGAGGAAGAGAAAATTATCAAAGGAGATGATGTGATTGTTGATTTGGATGCAACATTGGAAGATTTATACATGGGGGGTTCCTTGAAGGTAATCCTTTACTTATTTTGTATATTAATGCTGAAGCCTTCTCCTCAAGTTAGCATACAGACATTTTTCTGTTGCGGCCTTTATCACTAATCTTTAACATGCTTGGATTAGTAAAATACACCATTTATGGTTTCTGTTATAAAAAGTCATTAAAAGCTTTAGGCACATCCCCACTTCTCTGCAATTTATAAAACCTAATCTGAACTATATCATCCTTGTTTTTATTAACAACTAATAATCAACCCGAATTTGAAAGAAGCCAGAAAATTTATTTCTCCCACATCTGGTCGAGATACGTCTTGTATATAAGTTGTTCCCTAGAAGGTGGGAAAGTACAAGTCCTTTTGGGCACAACCTTTATATTTAGAATTGTGATTTGACATAAATGGTTGAAATCCTAATGTTAGACAGTGCAAGTTCTTGCTTATTTTTGTTTTTGTGATACTGTGGGGGCGTCATGAAACGGGCTCCACTAGCTTATTCTGTTGATCAGTATACTAAATGCTAACTCCATTAAAGGAGCTTTTCAGTGACCAAATTGTATGTCTTTTTAGCCAGCTTATCTTTTCTGGTGACATTGGCTTGTAGCATTTTCATACCTATGTTTTGGTGAATAAAACAGGTGTGGAGAGAGAAAAACGTTTTAAAGCCAGCCCCTGGTAAGAGGCGTTGCAACTGCCGCAATGAGGTGTATCACCGACAAATCGGTCCGGGAATGTTCCAGCAGATGACAGAGCAGGTGTGTTTTATTGATCCTTTATGCAACAGATGTACAGCATCATCTCTTTAGTTCAATCACCTGAACTTTGTTCAGAGAAAATAAAACTTAGTTTTGTGTGGTGTTTCATCTACTTTTAAAGTATAGCATCTGAATTTTCTTAAATTCCGTAATTGTGCTCTTTAGGTCTGTGACAAATGCCCCAATGTGAAGTTTGAAAGGGAGGGCTATGAAATTACTGTAGATATCGAGAAAGGAATGCAAGACGGACAAGTAAGCTCCCGTCTTGAGTTCTTACTTATATGCTTAATTTGGTTTAGTGATACTTAATTTGTTAGCAAACGTTCCATTGCAATGAACTTTTTTTAACTCAAGCTTGTCTGTACACACTTTGACATACTTCCTTGTACCCTTTTTGCCCGCTAGTATTGTCAGGAGCTTCATTATGATATACAGTGCAATTTACTTTCTATGTTCTTCTGGTCAGCTTGACTTTTATGTTGCACTCTAGGAACTTGAGTCTTTTAGCGCTGCAACTACTAGTAAAGATTAGCCATTGCTAGATGTTGATATGAGATGCTCCTTACAGTCAACCTCGTTTCTGCAACTAATAAATAAGACTGGCGAATTTAATGTTGATCTGAAGTGCACCTCATGGTCATCCTAAAATGGCCTGGTAGCAGTACATCGGAGACCTATTTTTGCAAGGGCTTGATCAATATAGCAGAATTAAAGGAAACATTAAGTAAAAGTTGATCAATTATCCATTTCTTCTTGTCTGCATAACTATGTGCAGCAAATGTAAAAGCAACTTATTCCTTTTATTATTGTCTTCTTAGAGCTTCTCTGATCCGTCTTTCTTATGAAATTCTATTTCTCACTGTTTCAGCTTATTTTTGCTAAATTGACCTGTATACACTCTTTTTAGTATAAATCTCTAGCTATTTAACTATCAAAGGCCTTTCCAGCTATTAGGGTTCACATGTTTGGAATCATAAGCGCTTGTTTGGTGATATATGTTCTTTCATTCTAAAGAGGCTTCAACAACATAAATGTTACTGTTTCTTAATTTTCAGAAACTTGTGGGGCTTTGAGCAGCACTAACTTATTCGAAATGTTTTTTCTCTTGTCATGTCCTACTACACCAAAGCAGGAATATCAATAAACTGCTTCTGATTGTTGATTGTCTTTCTCCTCTCATAAGTCTTTGGAACATTGTTTTGAAATAATAAGAAATTTCTTTTGACAGGAAGTAGTATTTTATGAGGATGGTGAGCCTAAGATAGATGGTGAACCCGGAGACTTGAAGGTTTGACTTTATCCCATGCTACACAGAACGGACTTTGTTTTTATGTACAATTTGAGTGTGACATATATTTTTCTTTATTATTTCTTGGGACAGTTCCGCATTCGCACAGCTCCTCATGACCGCTTCAAAAGGGAAGGAAATGACCTACACACAACTGTTACTATTACTCTGGTAATATTTTCTATTCATTTACGAGAATATAAGCCCATTTATTCAACATCGTTATCAAACTATGAACGTTGTTGAAGGAGAGTTAAGGTAAGAAATTAGTATAACAAAATGCTGGGAATATTGGGTCTTAACATACATTGACCGTCTGGAAATCACAAAGATAAATGTCCTCTAATTCAAGCTTCTAAAAATTCCTGCAGAGGCACCTCACTATATCTCCAGCCTTTGTGTTTTGTCTTTGTCCACCTCACCCTCAATTGCGCATGCTTGTGCAACTCTCTGATATAATATACATATAAGAATGATTGGGCAAATTATTTAATGGTGCTGCAGCGACAGTGTGTAGATGCCTCTTTTATGTGTTGTATCAGTCTCAATGGATCAGAAGTATCTAGTTTCATGGTGACTGGCACTGATGTCGAGCTCAATTAACCATTTGAATCCCTGCAGAAAACTTTGTTCGTTAATATAAAGACTTCGTTAGATTGTAAATCCTTTCTTGGAGTTTCAATGTGTTGAGACAAAATATTGACCAAATTATATTTCTGTTGGAACAACCCTTAGTGGTGGTGGTCCATGTTTTTTTTTTTTGATAAAGTAATTTGTTTATTGATGGCATCAAGAAGATGCAGTAGTACTAAGGGTGGCATGTGGGCCGGGCCCGGTCCTAAATGGGCTTCACGGGCCCGGTCCCAAGTGGGCCGGTCCTAGGCGGGCCTGTCCTAAGTGGTCCCGGGCTTCGCGGGCTTCTTGTTGGAACCGGCCCGGGACCGAGACCACGAACTAACAGTCCCGGGTTAAGTGGGCCGGTCCCGATCCTAAGCGGGCCTAAGTGGGCCCAACTGATACTTTCTATTTTTTAAATTTTTTTTATACAAGTTAGAGAAAAAAAATGGTAATAAAAATATCTAAGGCAATTTTTAAATTATATTATAGAATTTTCACCTATATAGATGTATATATATTATATCTTAAGATGTATACTATCGAATATGGCTTATATACTATGTATATATAGTATAATATATATATATCTTAAAATGTATATATATATATATATATTCGATTTATTATATATACATCTTAATATATATAAGCTATATTCGATTTATATACTATATAATGTATATAAGCTTATATATATACTATACTATATATACATCTTAAGATATATATATATATCAGTTTTTCTTGCCTGTTTTTCTTTTCCGTCATAATTGATCCCACATATTAATCTTTTTCGTTCTACCTCCCCTTTGCTTTTGATATCTTTTCCTGACTTATGGCATGGCTTCTGCTGCTGCACTTGTTGTTGCCTTCTCTGCTCCATTCGCAAAATTATGTCTAGCAATTCATGCTCAAACCCAGTCACATTAACCCCAAAAACCTTGCATGCTTTGACCATAGTGAACTTTGACCACTTGGATTGCTCAATTAGAGTTGGAGTATGCACCAATTGCTTTGAAGAATTCTCACTGTACCAAGGAAGAGGGTGGATGATGAATACTTAAGACTTAGGTGGATGATGAAACTACACTGAGACTTTTCTAGCTCCTGGAAAAGAGATTGGAGCGTTTACTGTGATCGATAGTTTGAGGAGAAGAGCATTAGTAAATTGCTTGAATGATGTGTGAACGCCTAATTTGAAATGTGTTGTAGCCTTATCTTCAGTTTGTTAGCAATCTTTCAATCTCCATTGGAGATAGAAACACAGTTAACTTTGTCCTAGCGGAGCAGAGGTGAATATGCTCTTTTAAAGAACCTATATTTCAGATCCATTTTGCTTGTGAGACTTGTCTTCTACTTGTTCTACAAATAGTCTTATGGCCGTAAAACACCAAAAAACGAGGAACGGTCATGGTGGGGTGGTGACTATGGTTCCTCAGGTCGTTTTTGATGGCCCGAAAAAATAGGCAGTTTGTCTACTTGTATTCACAAGTTATTCTTGATGAGTCACTTGTAGGTTTCCACTTTATACTTTATGCAGAGTAATAGGTAATAACCAAATGAATATCAGTAGAATTACATGCATTATAACCTTAAAGGGGTCAAAGTTTTACTCAATTTCCATCCAATACGATTGAAAAATCTTAGTAATGCGACTTATCACTAACATCACTCATTTAATTTATTTTGATATTCGATTCACCTTTTAACTTGATCTTAAAACTTTCTTTTTCTTCCATGCAGGTGCAAGCGCTGGTTGGTTTCGAAAAGACCATTAAACATCTCGATGACCATTTAGTAGATATTGGCACAAAGGTAAATTCTTACCATGCAGTTCTAAGAGCGCTACAGTTTCATTTAGGTTACCCGATAATTTTGGTGATGAATGTATTCCTCATGTTTGTTATTCCTCAGGGGATCACTAAGCCAAAGGAAGTGAGAAAGATTAAAGGTGAAGGGATGCCACTGCATTTCAGTAACAAGAAAGGCGATTTATATGTTAAATTTGAGGTTCTTTTCCCCACATCATTAACAGAGGACCAGAAGAAACAGATCAAGCAAATTCTTGTTTAGGATATACTACAGTCTGATCTTTTTTCTCCCCTGCAACGAATTCAGAAGAATCGGGGGTTGACCTTATCTCAACCCTTTACACTTTTTCTTGTTTACGAACGTTGCATTAATGTATTGGAACTTGCAGTAATCTTCCAGGCGTCCTCATCATCAAATTTTCGGGGCTCTATTGTGTCCAGGCATTTTTCCCCAAGTCATTTGAGGTGTAGTTTACAGGCCATTTGAACTGACTAACAAGGATACGATTGAGCAGATTGGCAGTGAATTTGCTGCATTGGGTTATTGACATTGTATTGGACCTTGACTATAGAGTAGATTGAAGTACGTACATTTGTTAGCACAATTTTCGGAATGTCATTTACATGTACTATATATTTGGATGAGGGACTTGCAGATTAGCCGCTGCATAATTTCGAAGTCTTCTTCTCAATATGCTGTGGTGTTTATACTGAATTGCAAGACTTATGCCTTTCATATACATTTATCATTTAATCATAGCTATATGATATGTATTCTCACTTTAATTTGTAGGAGTAACTGTCAGGGTTAAGTTGCTTGGTTTGGCGTAAATAGTAAATACGGGTTAAGTTGCTTGGTTTGGCGTAAATAGTAAATACCAAGTGCGAGAAAGTTTTTACTGTTTGTTTCATTTGCAGTTATTCTCTGTTCTAATACCATATTAACTAACAACAGAACTGCATCTATCACCTTGGCATTTTCTGTTCTAATCGAAGGTAAATTTTAATCATTTTTGTTTTGCAATTCAAAGCCAAACGAAATATAAACGTTGATTGTGAAAAAATAGGGATCGTTATTTTTATTTAAATTGTGATAGCAGATTCATAATCATCAAGTTATCAATTAATATTTATCATAAAAAATTATCTGTAATTATTTTATAAGTGAATTAAGTACATAAATATTTTTTATAATGTCAGTGAATAAAATTTAAACGTGTATCCGTAGATTATATTATCTTGCACTTTATCAATTTGAGCAGTTAGGATTAGATTCTTTTTGTCATCTCCCTTATTTATTACTCCATCCGTCTCATACTAATAGTTGTGGTTACCAAAAATAGTTCTCAAATTATTTCTTATTTTAGAAGTTCATGTCAAAACTAATTATTTTTTTCCTTTTTTACCCTTACTAATAATTGTTCTTGAGGATGGAGATAACACATAAATAGAATAAATATTAAATGAAGAGAGATTATATCTTAAGACATAAATAAGGGTAGAATAGTCTAATTTATTTCCTAAATAATATTTTTTAAATGACGTGTAAAAGAGAAACACGACACATAATATGAGACGGAGTATTATATAGAATAGTCAGTACACGTCACATTTGCTAGTCATGATCAGTACACATTAAAATAAGCTTTCTCTAACATGGTACCAGCCTAATACACTTGAATTTGCAAGTAATCATACTTCAGTCTTTGTAATGTATCTGTGGCAGTTAATGTTAGGTCTACTTAAACATTCAATGCAGCTCCAAATGATTTTAAAAAAAAACATAAAGTAAATGCAACCATAATTCTTCAAAATTATAGTATCTTGTAAATGTAACAATAATTTATATATATGCTTTTAGAGGAAATAATCTTCTATAATTGTTACATTTTTGAATAGAAAAAATAATTCTATAAAGATATCTTGTCCAGGAGCGAAGCTAGGAGTTCAGCCAAACCCGGTAACTTTTATTCAAACAGTATATTTGCGTTAAAAAAATTATTAAATATGAATGAATATTAAATTTAGAATCTAATTATTACCACATGAAGTCGTTATAAAATTAAGAACCCGTAACATTAGAATCTTGGATGCGCCTATGATTGTATTTACTGATCTTTTATTTTATTTTTTATCCAGCTCCTATAAAATGATCATATAACTAAAATGACATTTACAATAGGCCATAAAACCAATCTCCCCATGTTTTCACCACTTCATTCTTCCATTTATATAAATAGTTCTTATTACAGTCAAACTTTTCTATAACAACCTCTTTTGTTCTAATATTTTGTGGTTGACACAGTAAAGTGCTATTATATATATAGCAAACCCGAAAAGCACACGAATCATCTTTCATGCATGTTTCATTTTTTATGAGTATAAATAATATTAAACTATACTTCATTTTTTATGAGTACAAATAATATTAAACTATACCTCATATTTAAACAAGCTTGAGGTCGTTTATGAGTACAAATCAAATACAGTCATCACACCTTTCTTTTATAGTATTGCTTCAGTAAACTTGTCCATTTTTTTCATTTGGGCACTTAAACTAAGCTTTATTCCTATTGAACACCTGAAAGTTGGTGATATGTCAAAGTGAGTGTAATTCAAGCGTCAAGTTCTGTATCTCTTTCTCCTTCGACCATCTCCAATTCCATAAAACTAGCTCCAACACCATTATAGTCACTATTCCCATTATTTTTCACATCCAACCAAATTGGAATCTAATAAGAACAAAGTTAAATATACCAAAAATTCATTTTTTAGGAAGATCAATAACCCAATTGGAGAATTGAAAGAAAACTATTTTGATCGATTCTTCTTCACATTTTATATATCAAGTGGCAATTTGATAATAATTGCCCCAACATTTGTAAATATAGAAGACGAGTTTGAATGGGATGTGATCAGTGCTAGAGAGAGCATTTGTTGTTGGTGGAGGACAGAGCAGGGGTTGCAGGAGGTGGAGTTGCTAATTAGCGATAGGGTGGATGGCCTTAGGTCGCCAGTTGCGATTCGTAAAATCAATATTGTTTGATGTGATTTTTGGCCTCTGAATAGGTCTGTTATATGTTTTCTATAGCTATTAATTATGTGAGTTGTATTTATTTTATTCCCTGAATAAGAAGAAGAAGAGCCACGTTTTCAATTTTTTTTTGCTGATGTGCCTTTTCTTAATTGGTTTTATTCCATGTGTATACTTTACGCGCATAGATTGTGAGGGGTTTAATAGATACAGTTTCTAACAAGATAAAGTGTTCAACCAAGTGCCTAAATGGAAAAAAAGGCACAAGTTTAAGGGGCATTCGGCCCAAGTAGTACAATCTTGAGCAATTATCACTTTTAGCCATCCGAGAAAAACTAATGATAATAGGTAGCCACAAAATACACAATACAATTTATAGCTCAAAATCAATTATAAGGGCTAGCAATTGCAACTGAAAAACCAACGGCCGCCTAATCTTTTTGTAATGTATCTGGAAAAAAATATTTACATCAGTTTGAACTTCCTTTTGCATTTGGGAGCCTTAGATTTTTCTTCAATTCCTTTTACGTCCATAAAAAAGTTCCTTTTAGGTTTTAGATTTTTTTTTTGTTTGTTTGTTATGACACACGGAAAATCATTAATTTTTTAAGTTTCGAACACTTTCATCTCCTTTTATGTTTCGGATTTCTTCTTTTCTTTTTTTTTGGTAAAATTTGAGCAATTTCACCTCTGCAACTTTCAAACTCTTCCTATTACACATAAATTATAAAAAAATTTATTTTTTACTAAGAGCCTAAATTTTTTATTGATCTAATCTAAAAAATATATGATATTGTTGTAGGCATATAAATTTTATTGGAATTAAATTCATAAAATAATTTGGACTATATTTTAAATTCAAGATATATTAGTTCAAATAAATTTATTGGGCTAATATAATTGAATTAATTGTATAAGTCCAATATAAATGGATTAAATAAATAAGTCTTAATCCATTGGGCTAGCTCATTTAATTGGGCTAAAGTGATGAGCCCACTTCGTTAGGCCCAAGATGTCATCTTCCTAGAGGCCCACTTTGGTGCCACGTGTCAAATGATGTGGCGCACCAAGTCAAACGGAAGGGTCAATAGGATCATGCCATGTGTCAAAATGACAAGGCATGTCAAGTCACATTAGAAGGCCAATGAAACCGCGCCACGTGTGCAAGTGACATGTTCTGACCAATCAAATGCGGCCTTGTCATACTTCGATTTGATTGGTCGGAAAGAGTTTGTTCTTATCATAACTCTTCCCTCCCACAACTATAAATAGGGGTCTTCATAACATAGAAAAGACACCAGAAGTTATAACAAGAAGCAAGAGAGAGCTCGTGGATCAAACGCCGCAAATTTCTCTACAAGTTTCAAACTTCAAGCAATCAAGTTCAAGTTCAAGAAATCAAGTTCAAGCTCAAGAACGAAGAACAAGTCAAGATTCAAGGAGTACGAGTTCAAATCAAAGTTCGTGCTAGTTGAATTCAAGATCATCGTTCGTGGAAACAAATATAGGTTCAAGATCAAGCTCAAAGGCCCTTGAATTTATTTACTATTAGAAAGAAGAATCAGAGAATTCATAGAGATTGTACAATCAAATATTTGAAATAGAATACTACGATTGTTGCAATATTTTTCAGTCTCGATTATTTTCCTGATGCAAATTTATTATCTACAAATTATGGCACCCCCAGTGGGACAATCTCTACCTCTCATCTTAACTTTTCAATCACCAAAGTTCAAGAACATTGAAATGGCTTCAAAGAAAATCAACTCCGGTTCAACTTCCACCAGGGCTGCTAATTCCAAGTTCTATGCTGATGTGGAAAGCATCCTCGATATTACATTTGGAAGATTTGGACCAGTTACGAGGAGCAAAGCAAGCTCGTTAGGACAACAAGCACCCAAGTGTCGTCCGCATCAACCCCTGCTTTCGGATCTTCATCCTTAAAAGGAGCAAGATCTTTCACAAACGCACCCGAATGAGGAAGCGATGTTGCTGAAAAGATCAAGAAAACTCTTGCTCTGCTTGACCTCTCCGGATCCAAGCACTCTGCTATGAAGGAAGATGATGATGCTTCAAGTGATGGATCCTCCCCACTTACACCACATAGCGTGAGCCAATCAAGGATCAATCTGTGTGAAAATACATGCTACTCTCCGTCGTCCATGACAATCATGCAAGTCATGGTGACAAACACTTCATCTGTGGAGGAGCAATTGGCAAACTTGACGGAAGCAATCACTGGCTTGACCAAGTGCATGCAAAATCAAGATGCTCGAATCGACAAGCTAACAGATAGGGTGGGAATCTTGATGGAAGAAGAATCCACCCATGCACCTGACAAACTCCCAGAAGTTCAAGAGATTGATCCTCCCCCACGACAAGTTGCATCCACTAAGGAAATTCCAGTCTCTTCGGAAGGGATGATTCCAATCAATCAACTAAAGGAGTTCATTGAAGGGACTATAAAAAACAAATATGAAGTCGCTTCCAGGTCCTCCTTTACCTATGCAAAGCCGTACACTTCAAGGATCGATATGTTGAAGATGCCTGCTGGCTATCAACCTCCAAAATTTCAACAGTTTGATGGCAAATGCAATCCAAAGCAACATGTGACACACTTCGTTAAGACATGCAACAATGCTGAGAGTTATGGAGATTACCTTGTCAAGCAGTTTGTCTGC